TTGATTTCTTCTAAAGGTGGGCATTTATGTATTATCGAAAAAAATTTTTTTATCAAAAAAAATTTTCACGAGTTTTATGAGAATTTCTCACTTGGTGGATGAATTGCTAATGTTGACTAATTACCACCACATGATTGCCATTTTTTGTTTTTCATATATCAAATAAATCAAATAAAAATGATGAGTTATTAATGAAAAATGTTTTATTCTTACATTAAGGGGTAATAACATTTAGTAACAATGAGAGACCTATTGGTTCATCTAGGCCAGGGTTTGCCAAACCTTTTTGAGTTATCAACCCCTTGAAAAACTTATAAAGTTGTCATCGACACTCAAATTCTTAGAATACAGATTAAAAATTAAATTTCATAGTCAAGAAACTTCAATTTATAATCAACTTTTATTCATCATAATACAATCATTAGGAAATATAAAATGTAAAAAAGAATGAGGTTTTAATTTTCTCTAATGAGATGGATGGGCTTTAACAAACATATGAATATTGGTCTGTATTTTTCGTTACTGTGTGAATTTATACACTGTGGAAGATTCGAGAAAAGAAACAAACATCATTTGCTCGTTGTTGCTACCCAGTCTCTTGCTACTAGTCCAGCTCTAACTACATCTTTGTCTTCCTATCTATTGCTTGCTCCCTAATGGCACTGAACTGTCATCACTACTGCTGAGACACTGTTTTTGTACTGGCAGAGAGACTTTAGTTTGGGTCAAGTACTTTCTGCACCTGATGCATAGGTTTTGGCCTAGAATCAGATTGACAGTTCCACATGAGTTTCACCATGTTTAAACGTGTGTGCAAATCCTTCTTGTGTGTTTTGGTAGGATGTGAATTCTTTGGGTAACAACACTTTCTTTTGAAGGCTAGCATAATTCATGAGAAACAACTTTGGCTTCAGTAAACCATTCACTTATAGCTCAATCACCTGTTGTTCACTTAATAAATGTTTGTAGAGCTGTCCACTGCTACTTGAACCACAAATGTTCTCAGTAAAATCCCCTATGGAGCAAGCCATTTGGAAGTAAAAGAAGACAGCAGTTCATAACTATAGAACCTTAAGTTTGCATCACATTGAGTATATGCTCCATTAAATACAAGTGATAATTAAATTTCCACTCCAGTGGCCATTACATGATGCAGCATTAGCACACTGAACTATGGTAGGGTTCTATACATAGTTTGAGACTAACTGAACCATCTTCCGCTGTTTTTCATTTCCAGTCATTCATAAATTTGTCACCAATGAAACTACAGTGACACACAATATAATGAGAGAATATCTCCTGATCCCTTCAGTATGCCAGGCTGATTTTCTGCACAAACATAGAAGATTGTGTGAACTTTAGTATCCAACCTTGATTTTAGTCATTCTTGTTGAAGCTTGATATTCCAAGTGATTTCAAAGGCCAAAATTGTGAATTTTAGAACAATTGACATATTTAGCTAGAGCACAAAGAGAGCTTTCCAACAATAGGTTATTTTTTATTGAAGTATTAAAAATGTAAAATGTTATTGGTACTTTGATATTACTGTTCTCATCTGGGCAACATTTCTGGTCAAATGTTACATTTTATCTAAAAACCATATGACCTACAAACCTGAAACTAGGTTGAATTTTAGTTTTTTGGCACCAACATTCTTCCCAATTACCTTCACAATTTGAAGAGGTCAGGTCAGAAACCTTTCTAAAGTGATTGATTTGACATGAACTGACCAAGTTATCATTTTAAGTAATCTTAATTTTAAATTCATCATTAATTTTAGACTTAAGATGTATCTTTATGTCCAGAAGTAGTACATTTATTTAATTTTTGAGTACGTGTCTATTAATTATTATTGATTTAAAGTTCACCTGTGTTTGCTAGTTAATGTGCTTACAGGTAGTCATTTTCAAGTTGTTGATACATGATATACAAAAACATTATTAAAAGTAGTATATCTAATGTCTGTACGGGTATATAGTCATTTTCAAGTTGTTGATGCATGACATACAAAAACATTATTAAAAGTAGTATATCTAATGTCTGTACGGGTATACAGTCATTTTCAAGTTGTTGATGCATGATATACAAAACATTATTAAAAGTAGTATATCTAATGTCTGTAC